AAAAAAAAAGATCAGAGTATTGTACCACCAGCTGCAGCAAGCGCATTTGCAGGAAAACAAAAAAAAATTGGGACACCACCTCCAGTGTTGTACTTGACAAGCTTTTATGCACATTACCGTATAATGTACTTTTTGATACAGCATAACTGGTAAACCATATGGAAAACAAAAAAAAAAAAAAAAAACACACACACACAGACAGTGTTGGGTTTGACATGCTCTATCAAACGGTTCTACCATGAACAGTTCAGTAAAAAAAAGTTTTCAGTTTCGGCATCTAATGGCTGCTGCTCTCGAGAAAATGTACCGATTGACCCTAAACTCACAGAGATGAAAGATGACCCTTATGGTAATACCTGCCAATAATATAGGTGAGGTCTGTGCAGTAACTGAAAATCAGTGAAAATATTTTTTTGAAAAAAACAAAAAACCATTTTTTGATAATTTTTCCCCGTTTGGCCTTGAAATAAAGATCAAAGGTCAAAACCAAGGGCATATAGCATATCTTTTGGTAATTCTCTTAGTTACAGTACATATTACTTTCAGTCAGACTGCTCTAGAATTTTTTTCCCATAATTCCTTCGGTGTGCTAGAAATTTAGCATATAATTTTGCAAATTTTGGACAAGGGTGCATTGCGACAAGCTCAACACCAAGACCCTTGCACTGACAAAGCCCAAAATTTTCACAGATCGAGTTGAGATTGTATGTGACCTAAATCCAAGAGATGGGTACACAGGTTCTTGTAGTCTAGGAGGAGAAGTGGTAACAGTAACATGGCTGTTCCTTATAAGAATCAAATAAATTCGACATGACTGAATAAATCTCGATCAGCCATAAAATAGCTTTAGACTGCCCCTTTCTTTAAATTTGTGTCAGAAATTTAACCTATACTTATGTGACCTACTTTTCTGCCCCATGTATATACAGCATAGAAAGCTAGCAAAGAAATCCATTCCTATATCATTTTTGGGTAACATTAAACAATATCAATCTTTTGGTAATTCTCTTAGTTATACTATTTGAATTTACATGCCGGCATTTGGTGGGCTTTTGTGGCAAAACATTGACTATATATTTGTATGCATCTTTAAAGTTAAAAATATGACAGTTTGGCAGTTATGGGGCAAACATCACCAAAGTTGTGCAAAGAACCTGAATAATTACCGCAAATGTAAACCAATCATGCCAGTTTTCGTATGCAACCTGCCTCTTTACCAAACAAATTTAAAGTCACTCAATATAGTCTTACTTATTTCATCTGTCTTAGTAATGATTTCACCGCCAAATTAAATTTCAGAAACTTCCACATTTAAATAAAATTTTATATCAATGTTTTGTAAAGATAATTTGTTATAATGACATTATGTGTATTGAATCTTTTAATGTATTGTTTATTGGAAAGAACTGTAACCAAGTCTTAGAGCGCATTCCCAGAGATTTAGATTGATTCAACTAGATCGACCTTACTCCCTGGGGGTTCACGCTAGATTGCTGTCAGTCGACCTCGCACAGAATTTAATTACCCTCTTACATCTTTTAGTAGGTGGCACAGACATTTAAGCCAGCTAAGCTGACAGTAATCTAGTGAGACTCCCCTCGGGGATAGATCGATGTAAAATATGTGGGAATGGGGTCTTAAAGGAATTTTTTAGGTCTTAAAAGGATTGAATAACTTCATTTATGGCTTTATCTCCTAGTTCAGGTCAGTCTTAGTTTAATTATGTTTAAGGTCTCTCCGTAGTTATATGTCTGAATTCTTTTAATTGGCTTCAGTATCTCTGACTTAATTTCTTTAGGAATCACTGTACATATGTATTTTGTGTATAAGTATATATAGAGAAGAACTTTGTATTGTAATCAGAGATCAGAGATTAGAGATATGAGATCATCAGAGTAAGTTTGGTCAGTCGAACCGACAGCTGGATTGTCCGTGTTGTCAGCCAGAAAAATAAATGTAGAATTCGGTCAGTTAGTAGTTGATCTCCAGAAAATATATCGTAGCTGTTGTGTTACCTGCTGGAGAATTAACTAAGAGCAATTGTTCCCTGTGATACATCTAAAAGAGGGCGTGGCAAAATATGTTAAAATACCTGTATGCATGTGCAGAAATGTTCAACTCTTTGCTGCTGTCATCCTCAGTTCTATTGTTTGACCACTAGGTATAGAATAGTGGTTAAAATGATGTCATAGACTGGACAAAGTCTGCTCCCCTCCCCTTCACATACAGGCATTTTAACATCTTTTTCCTCGTTGTGTTTGGAAGTTATTGTGCCAATGACACCAAAATTGTGCAAAAGAGTGTTTTAAATTTAAATGGAATTGTCCTAGAAAGTCGTGGTTGTTGGATCTTAATTACAATAATAGGTATGGTATCATCATTATCAAAGGGTGACTTCTCTTCAGAAAATTGAACATGACATTGAAAGCAACCGGGCTATTTACCAAAAAAAGCCAACAAGAAAATTTAAAGTAAAAAAAAAATGGTTTGGAAGTAATTAGACAAACCTCACATGTCAGACAGCAACAATGACAGCATAGACAGACAGACAGACCAATTAGAATATATAAATGCAGGCAATTACAATGTCTGTATATAAAAACTAAAGCAAAACCAATTTGGTAAATTTAGATTTTTGTCTTACTATGTGCTATATTCTTTGGAACCGGCAAGGTGCTTTGTTACATGTGTAAAATTGTTAAGCATATAACTCTGTACATGATATGTATAACAACTGGCAAAAAATAGTATATTATTTCTAAAGTTAGCACATGTCTATACTTGTTGTGTGTACCTGTGAGTGTCTGTGTGATGCAAGTACATTGTCAATAAACAGATTATCAGTCATACCTGTCATGTGAAAGACAGACTTGAACCCCAACCCAAATTTTCCAACTTTTAGTGGATCATCTTTCTTGCTACTATTGTGGATGGCTCCTATTCTGTCCCAGTCAGCATCACCAAAAACAGCATCATTGTAGGCATACAGAGCTGGACCCTATGATATAAGTAAATAGAACAATTCAAAAGACAAAAATACATTAAATTAGAATGTTTTATGAATAATTTTAGTATGTTCCACAGAAGGTTGGGTTCCTGATGGGGGGAGGGGGGGAGGAGCGGGGGAGGAGCGTTAATTTATTCCTTTTACATTGTAATTTCTGCTATCGATATCTCCTCTTAAACCATAAGGTAGTTTTGGTATGGTAAAAACTTAAAAATTTCATCACTCAAAAATTAATAAACATTTTAGAATGTGTGAATCTGGCATATAGCCATATTAAATGAGGAACTTTTCAAAATTATCAAGACTCCAATTATCAAGTTTGATAAAATTTTCAATTAAAGTGAAAAATATTACAATGACAGAGAATAATCTTCCTTCAAAATTTTGATGACTGCCTTAATTTTCAAGTTTTTTACAGTATTGATAAACCTATCATAAGAGATGTGCAACTGTGGTTTGGGCTGTCCATGGGGGTGGTTGCATGATACTTATTTTTTATTATCTTTATTAACATTGTAATTTCTGTTATCTTCTCCTTTACCATAATATAAAAGAAGAAATTGCAGTTTTGATACCACTACCATAAGGGATGTGCAATTGGCAACTTCAGAATATTGGTGTGACCCGGGGTTGGGCTTTCTCTGGTGGGTGGCTCATTCAAAATCATTTTTACATTTTCCATTTCGTTTTCTCTTCCTAGATCATTAAATCAAGGAAGTTCAAGGTTTGGTGGTTAAGAGACCTATAATCAGAGATGGTCACGGCCGCTTTGGAAAATTATGATTTCTGTTAACTTCTCCAAAACCATTATATTGAGGATGTTCAGTCTTTGGCTATTGACAGATAGTACATGGACCCCTTGGGGTTGGGCTGTCCCTGGGGGTGGTTGATTCTAATCATTTTACTCATTTTTGTTTCTGCTAGCCTTGTATCTCCTCCTCCCTGGGTGTGGACGCTTTTAGTTTTGTGTATTGTAACTTCAGTTATCCTCTCTTAGGCCATCAGAGACAGAAAGTAAAAACTTTTATGGGATTGATACACCTTTCATCAGTAACGAATATTTGTGTGCAAGGACGGGTTGGGTAGGTTAACAATTGTCACCAGGGGGGCCGGGATGATTTTTTTACATGAAGTTAACTTCTTTTTTTAACTGATACACTGTACTTTTTATGCTGTTATTTTAAAGATTAATATAATAATTTATCACATAAGAATAGGGATTTCTTGAGGGTCATGTTCTCTTTACTATGTGGGATACAGTAGGTAATGGCTACCCAGTGACACCATTTATAGTTTCTTTCGGTATTTTAACCAGAATAGATCCTTTTTAATAATCACCCCTACTAATGCAGCTATGCACTATATTAAGCTAAAGGATCTGAGGGATATATGATACTGTCTCCTGATATTGTCCCATCAGTGAGATTAACCTCATAACAGGCCCGTAGCCAGGGGGGGTTCGGGGGGTTCGAAAGAACCGCCCCTTTTTCTGGAAAAGGTCCACTCTGGCTAAGATTTGATTTAGGTACATGACGTTTTTAAGGGAAAAGGTCCACTTTTTTAGAAAAAGAACCCCCCTTTTGAAATTGCTTGCTACGGGCCTGTGACATATTCAAGTGTAATATATGGTAGCTATGGATGTATGGATTGAGACCGCGTCTTCTGGGTCTTCTGGAATACGGTCAGATTTTAAAGTTTACATTGACGGGTATCTATTTAATTCTGTTAGAAGACAGTTAAAGATGGAGGATATATTAACTAAGATAATTTGAAAGACTGCCAGAAAATATCTCTGGATCCACACCTGTTTTTTACTTGTAAATATACAAGATTATGGCCATCGTGTAATGACAAATGCTAGACCATCTATGAATAAGGACTTGACTGAGAAACTGTACCATAAAGTCTGTAAGAATAGAGACATATATCCAACCTTTATATATACAATCTTATAGCATAAGAAGAGTTTGCTTTAAAAACATAACGTTACATTTACCTGAAATATCTTCAAATCTGGTTGATACAAAGACTTTGCAGAAAACTGGCGTCTGTCATTTACAAATTTCACAGATTTTGCTCCAGCATCTTCAGCATTCTGGATTAATTCCTAAAAATTTGACAATATGCAATGTCAGTTTTTTTTCTTTCTTGTTATGACTATAATTATTCTCACAACTTTATATTTAAGTAGATAAGTGAATGACGAATTTAAAGAATTAAGGTAACAAAAACTTGACATTTTGGACTATTTCCTAAAAGATTGACAACATGCAATGTCAGTTTTCTCTTTCTTGTTATGATTTTAATAATTCTCATAACTTCATATTTATGTAGACGCATGAACAATTAAAATCAAGAATCAAAGTAACAAAAATTGTACAAGAGCTTAACCTTCAGAATCTGCCCATCATCTGGATATTGGTCTAATACTGCTCTCAGCTGCTCAATTAAAGATGGCGTCCGAATCCCAAAACCACCTAAAATAGAAATAATGGTAATGATTTTATTCTACTAATGCCAAAAAGTCTTCAAACAAAACTTCTCAAAGCGACTTCTTCAATAATATGAACTAGCAGATTCTCATCAGCATGATGTAGACAATTTTTAAAATAAAATAAGGGACAGTAACATATACCTTCAAATTAAGGTGTATAGATATTCTAATGTTTATTGGCATAGTTTGTCTGTTTAAAACATTAAAATTACATCATTTGAAAAGATGCCAAATATCTGAGAAAAACGAGGAGTGGCGCCAGAACTTTCAATCATTATACATACCACGGGGCTGATATCAAAACAAAAGGATTGCAGGGACCGATACAATGAATGAGACAGAGTGACTGCCATGTGCGGAAGATGGGCAGGAAATCGGCCAACTACTCAGAAAACCACTAACGCAAACGAAGATGATTGGACGGTGACCGCAATTAGGCAGTAAACGCGGGGAAAGTCCATTCTTTGATATCACCCCATGCGCGGTGATATTAGCGCGTTCTATTCAAAGTTAGGGGTTTTGGGTGGGAAACACGCACAATTTCCCTTTGTATGTATGACAAATAATGCACTGTTACCCCCTCGACCGATATCCACGATAGCATGCCTCGCTGGCGCTCGGCCTGCTATCGTGATATCGGGCTCGTGGGCAGTGCATTATTTACTACATACAGCATTGGTCAAAAAGGTTGTCCCACACCCATTTCCATGTACTTTTATTTACAAATGATCTCCTCACAGCTTGTAGTGTTCACAAATATAATTCCCAGACATGTAAATTAATTTGATTAGAGTCGATTGCTTGTGCACTCGACTCGTTTTATGGCCTTACCTGAAGTCATGTAACTTAAGTGGACGTGTGCAATTTGAATAATTAAAATTAGTATGCACCGCCAAATTACTGCAGCACAGAATCCACCTAAAGATAAGAAATGGTTATAAAAGACGTCTAGAATTAATATCGGGGGGCAGACTGAAGAAGACTCGAAGGTGACCGCTCGACGGAGCTATGGGAGACGGCTTAGAAGTTGGAGGCTTCACGTATAGAACATGTAGTTAGAGATCGTCAACCAATAAACCATTAAACTGGTCATTATGTGGACTTGGGTTTTCTTTGCGCGACCTTACGTAAATCTGACACGAACCGTGGAATCTCTGTATTGCGTTATCCACTAAGTAAGTCTAAAACGTAATGTCCTATTTCGAGCCCACACTTGAATTAAGCGTTCAAAATTTATTATTATATAAGTTTAGGACATTCATCTCATATGTATATGTAAAGGTACATAACAAGCTGTAAATTGTTAGAAATAGTGTTTTTTTATTACAGACATCGTGTCTAACATGATAAATGGTTAAAAAAATGCAAACTAGTGGTGAAAATATACACATATTATACAATTTAGTATTATTTATAAGAGGTACCCCCTCAAATCCACTGTTTCACTGGGACTTCTACAGATGTAAAGAAATGTCTATAAAATTAAAAAGACGTCATCAAATGTCACCAAATATCATGTATGCACTTACGGTCAGCCATTTTTGTTTGAAGCAGCAGAAGTTTATTATTTTTGGGACATCACATCCGCTCGCTGCACATGGAACTCAGTATGGCCCAATCTGTAATAACAGAAATTATTTGAATGAACATTTTATCTTAATAGAAGATCAGAGAGGCGATACTGCGTCCAAGTATTGTGCCACCAGCTGGAGCAAGCGCATTTGCAGGAAAACAAAAAACACCACCTCTAGTGTTGTACAAAGCGCAGTTAACAAGATTTCTCGATTTTTTTAGTTGAAACTACAATTTATAACAAAATCATGAGGGAAAGTAAAAGATCAAATCCAAATTTGTGAGGTGCAGTTCAGGAGGTCAAATGTTAAATTTAAGGTCACAGTAAGACTGACAATGTATGAGTTCCCATTCAAGTTCAGTGGAATCAATGGGCATATCTGTGCAAAGGTGTATTCCCAGAGATTTAGATCAATCCAGGGATTAAAATTTAGATCGATCTAACTCCCTGGGGTCTCAGCTAAATTGCAGTCAACCGAGCGTGCACCATAGTTAATTACCCCCTTACAGCTTTTGGTAGGCGGGAAAGACCCTTAAGCCGGCCAAGCTGACAGTAATCTAGTGAGACTCCCCACAGGGATAGATCTATCTAAAATCTATGGAAATGGGATGATAGTTTTGGAGATATAACGGAAGGAAAATTCAAGGCAAAAAAAGTCCAAAAGTCAATTTCAAGGTCACACGTACGTTGCCAATATGACGTCATATTCAAGTTCATTAATAACTGAGGACATATCTCTGCCAGCTTTGAAAACATTAGAGATGAAAAAAAATGTCCAATTCAGTTCATGGTGAAAAGTAGGTCAAAGGTCAATTTGATGAAGGTTACAATAAGATTGCCAGTTTATGTCTTCCAATTCAAGACGATTACGACAACAAGTTGCGGTTACGGTCGTATCACTAGTCAGCTTTTTTTGTTATGCAAATGATTTACTCAGTATATATACGGTCAGCAGTAGTTCTGGGTGCGGCCACGTTTGTATTTGACGAGCAGAAGGCTCAGGTCGCCAAGTCTCAAGATTTAGTAGTCACTTCAGCAAAATCTGTGGATCACCATCAGGGGGAAAAGCCACATTTCTCTGTACGTATTGTATTCAATTCTATTGTAAATCATTTTGCACAATGTTTATGTAAAAGCATAAGTTGTTTGTCTAGCCAAAATTATAGTATGAACAACATTTCCCATTTCTTATAATTAATTCATTATTTCTTTTTATATCTGTATTCAGTTTATATTATATTTGTGTATTTTTTATATTATCAGTTTGGTGTTTATATTTCATTATTTTGTTATTTTAGTATTACCATGTCCATGTCAGTGTGTGCGTGAATAAAGGTGTGAACATTTTCCCGTTGTTTGTGTTCGTTTGGCGTGGGATCCGCAACATGTACATTAATATGGGTGTTTCTCTGCCAGTTTGGGAGATATAACGGACAGAAATCTTACAAAAGCCAGTTCATGTTCAAAAGTAGGTCAAAGAACAATTTCAAGGTCACAGATAGATTGCCAGTATATGACTTCCTTTTCAACTTCAATAGTAATAACGACCCTGTCTTTGCCAGTTTGGGAGATATAAGTGACTAAAATGTTGCATAGTTCAGTTCATGATGAAAAGTAAGTCAAAGGTCAATTTCAAGGTAACAGTGAAATTGACAGTATATGACTTCCTATTCAACTTCAATAGTAANTAACAATTGTCACCAGGGGGGCCGGGATGATTCTTTTTTACATGAAGTTAACTTCTTTTTTTAACTGATACACTGTAATTTTTATGCTGTTATTTTAAAGATTAATATAATACTTTATCACATAAGAATAGGGATTTCTTGAGGGTCATGTTCTCTTTACAATGTGGGATAGGTAATGGCTACCCAGTGACACCATTTATAGTTTCTTTCGGTATTTTAACCAGAAAAGGTCCTTTTTAATTATCACCCCTACTAATGCAGCTATACACTATATTAAGCTAAAGGATCTGAGGGATATATGATACTGTCTCCTGATATTGTACCAACAGTCAGATTAACCTCATATTCAAGTGTAATAAATGGTAGCTATGGATGTATGGATTGAGACCGCGTCTTCTGGGTCTTCTGGAATACGGTCAGATTTTAAAGTTTACATTGACGGGTATCTATTTTACTCTGTTGGAAGACAGTTAAAGATGGAGGATATATCAACAAAGATAATATGAAAGACTGCCAGAAAATATTTCTGGATCCACCCCTGTTTTTTACCTGTAAATATACAAAGTTATGTCCATCGTGTAATGACAAATGCTAGACCATCTATGAATAAGGACTTGACTGAAAAACTGTACCTTTAAGTCTGTAAGAATAGAGACATATATCCAACCTTTATATATATAATCTAAGAGCATAAGAAGAGTTTGCTTTAAAACATATGTTACATTTACCTGAAATATCTTCAAATCTGGTTGATACAAAGACTCTGCAGAAAACTGGCGTCTGTCATTGACAAATTTCACAGATTTTGCTCCAGCGTCCTCAGCATTCTGGATTAATTCCTGAAAGATTGACAATATATATACAATGTCAGTTTTCTCTTTATTGTTATAACTATAATAATTATCACAACTTTATATTTAAGTAGATAAGTGAATGACTAATTTAAAGAATTAAGGTAACAAAAACTCGACATTTTGGACTATTTCCTAAAAGATTGACAATATGCAATATCAGTTTTCTCTTTCTTGTTATAACTGTAATAATTCTCACAACTTTATATTTAAGTAGATAAGTGAATGACTAATTTAAAGAATTAAAGTAACAAAAACTCGGCATTCTGGACTAATTCCTTTAAGATTGACAATGTACAATATCAGTTTTCCCTTTCTTGTTATAATTATAACAATTCTCATGACTTCATATTTATGTAGACGCATGAACAATTAAAATCAAGAATCAAAGTAACAAAAATTGTACAAAAAGTTAACCTTCAGAATCTGCCCATCATCTGGATATTGGTCTAATACTGCTCTCAGCTGCTCAATTAAAGATGGCGTCCGAATCCCAAAACCACCTAGAATATAAATAATGCCAAATCTACAAATGCCAAAAAGTCTTCAAACAAAACTTCCCAAAGCGGCTTCTTCAATAATTTGTACTAGCAGATAATCTCATCAGCATGATGTAGACAACAGTTTTTTAAAATAAGTGACAATAACATATACCTTCAAATTAAGGTGTAAGGATATTCTTGTGTTTATATTTGCATAGTTTGTCTGTTTGAAACATTAAAATAACATTTTTTGAAAGATGCCACACATCTGAGATAAATACAGAGCGGTGTCGGAACTTTCAACCATTGCTATCTTACTTTTAAATTATCATTTATGCACTTACGGTCAGCCATTTTTATTTGAATCAGCAGAAGTTAATTATTTTTGTTTGTCTTTGGACATCACATCACCTCCACGCACTTTATGACTCATCAGGGCCTAATCTGTAATAACAGGAATTATCTAAATGAAGATTAATTATATCTAACAATCCTTTGTAAAATGATGATAAATCATGATAGAGGGGTCCAAACATATCCCAATTCAACAGGTACCATCTAAAGGAACAATCAAATCAGTTTATCATTTGTTACAATGAACAATCAAATCAGAACCACTATCTAGATAAGGCTTCGTTCACATGGAATGTCTATTTTCTAACAATCTATTTTCTATTTTCGGTATCTTATGATCACGGCCTGTGCCCCGAATATCCCGCCGCGTAATTACTGGCAGCGCGAGCCAGTTACTATATAGTAACTTATAGTAACTGGCTCGCGCTGCCAGTAATTACGCCGCGGGATATTCAGGGCACAGACTGTGATCATAAGACATACCGCGAATAGAAAATAGAATTAAGAAAATAGACATTGCATGTGAATGAAGCCTAAGTATGAGAATAAACATGTATGAGAATAAAGAAGAACGTGGGATTGGTAAAAAAATGCAACCACTGAGAAAAATGCGATCATTGTGTATGAACATTTTTATGAAGTAAAAAAATATTGATAAACTGTATACTTGATAATTACTTCTGACCAAAAACATCTGTTCAGAAGCACTCTGGTTGCGCTTGTCGAGGACGGTGTAACTTGTAGCTATCCTATTACACATGTCAGAGTCTCAGTTAAAAATTAAATGGGGTCCTGATCAGCCCCCCTCCCCCCTCTCGATTTCTCAAAAAAAATTCACAAATGGTGCCTTCTTGAAATTAAAATTTTGACTAGCTGAATCATAGTTCTAAACCGTACCAAAATGGCACCCTTTTAAATACCAAAATTTTAAGGAGCCTTTCACCGAGCCCCGAACCCCACGCCAAGGGGGAGGGGAGGGGACGGTCGGCTGCGCACCTCCCCCCATTCAAATAATTCTGAATCCGCCCCTGGGTCTGGCCATTACAGCCGAGCCGAATCTAAAGCCGCACCACGAAAACAGAAAAACTGAGGCAAAGAGACCAACTGTTATAGTGAAGAATAACGACAACGATCAAACGTTTATTCACCGACTCATTTTTCCTGCTATTTCACAAGTATTTATACTAGTTAATTTTCCGTACTGATCACGCGTGTAATTATGTAATTTTCATTGTTTACGGCGTGATTTCCAGAAACTTTCCATTCTCATGTTGACTTAACATATGTCACAGTTTATTTTTATTGTTTAAAAACACACAACTGTGAAATAGATTTAAGGTTATATATTTCACCTGTAGAAATAGAGAATGAAGTTACAGTATTTGCACGACCGCTCTGGTCAGTTACAAAAGAGAGAGTGTACATGTACATGTTACAATGAATGAAATACTTAGTTTAAACAAAATAACTAATCAAATACAAATACACCGTTTAATAATATAACTAAATAAATAATGCATCATGACAATTGAATTTGAAAGAATAATAAGCTCACCTGTAGAAATAGAGAATGAAGTTACAGTATGTGCACGACCGCTCTGGTCAGTTACAAAAGAGAGAGTGTACATGTTACAATGAATAAAATACTTAGTTTAAACAAAATAACTAATCAAATACAAATACACCGTTTAATAATATAACATAAATAAATAATGCATCATGACAATTGAATTTGAAAGAATAATTAGCTCACCTGTAGAAATAGAGAATGAAGTTACAGTATTTGCACAACCGCTCTGGTGAGTTACAAAAGAGAGTGTGAAAAAGGGCGCGGAAAACGACTAGGATCACGTGTAGACGATTCTTATCACGTGGGAGAATTATCCAATCAACGCCCGCCAAAGATACCCTGAGTGTCAGAGCAACGTAAAAGCTAGCTTGTTAAATATATACCTTGTGATGGAGTCAAATCAAGATCGAGCTGGCAATACCGGAATCTAGAACCTAGGGTAGCCAAAGACGAAGAAATAAAGAAAGAATAAATAGATAAACGGATATGGTAAAAATTACATGAGGTGGGACTTTATACACCGTCACACGTACAACATTCCCTTATTAGGCAATATCTAAGAGCCTTGTTTTCAACTAATCTTATCAGAAATACTATTTGCATTACTCATACTTGAATCATATCCAAAACTCAGTTATCATGTGATTGTGACGACGTTACTGACTTTGCATGTCTTATCGGTGGCGCGAGTAATAACTAGACAGTTTTCGTGTTTTTCCATATTCTTTATTATCGCTTTCTAACTACGCTATCTACAGTTTATTCCTCTCCGTTCAACCTATTACATCGTTCTCCCCGTCTACATTACATTCTTCGCTTAAGTACAATAAGGTCATGTCAATCAACTAAAGTAACACTACAAAACACTCCTCGCTCTTATTCGCTGCATGCTGTCACTTACTAACGTTACATGATAAACAGTTGATCAAAACTAAAATATATTATGAAATTAACCGATCACATAAAATGTTACTGACTTTAATCTTTTCCATCTTTTTCTGACACTAAAAACGTGTTCTACACTTGTTGACTCTTTATGTTGACTTACACTTATACCACTCGAAATTTTCATCTATTTTATTTCCCTTTTATTACTAATTGTAATTAGTGTAAGCGTAATTCATTAACTTTACAACACAACTATGGACGATGCTGTCCAAATGACGGCCAATGCCTGGTACTTTCAGACCTGATTTTCCTCATTATTTTCTAATATCCACATTTATATCTACGTGAGCTGCTGTACGCGTCAGGATTTCAGCAATAAAGAAAAACAAAGACTAAAAAAAGGACCAACCTGATACAACCTGATACAACCTGATAAAGTCCCCTTACCAAAAGGTCGCATGGTCTCCCAACCCTGCCCCGTATGGTCAAACAATAGAGGCCGCATGATAATTACAGGGTAGGGGAATTGGCAAGTAATCCATATCGGACACCCAAATTAGTCGGTTCAACGAACATGCTCCGCTCCTTCTTAATCCATCAATAGCAATAGTCGTTTTTTCTGTGCTGCTTCCCAGTAATCATTCCATAAGTATTTGTATAGATCTGTATAATTGTTGTTAGGTTGTTATGACTAGTGTATAGAGCCTGCAAAATGTAACGTGTACACATTTTAGTGCTCAATATAGATTATTATATTTATTGCCTCACTTACGTTTCTATTATAGCTGATGCAAAGAGAGCCCTTTGTTGTATTTCTTTAACACTTAGTAAATTTCCTGTCGCAACATTTTAAGGCCTTCATTTTCCGTTTGGGCGGTGATGTTTTTAATTCGCACCCCTTGTTCTCGGAGGCCCATGCTACGCAAACGTACATAATCGCTAAGAGGCATATTGGAATTGTGATGATATGGAATATTTGAGTGTCGATTTGTACCGTTCACTTGGCAGGTGACACGATGGCACAGAAATCAATGGTATAAACATGTCATATTATACAAAATACTTACTGGCCATTTAGGAAGTCCAGATAAACAATCTGGTATACACGTGTCAGTTGACTGATAATTAGGTAAAATTGAATAGTTTGGATAGAAGAGCGTCATCGCCATGTAAACATTAATTTTAGACGACGCGTGTCACACAGTAGTGATTATGCAATAGCCAGGGCTTAATCACTGTGTTTACCCAGCATGAATAAAGTTAACCTGAACTGATTGTTAATTAATGTGAGATGACACGTGCCAAACAGTGAAATAAACCCGAGAGATTTTTTAAATTAATTTTATTTGATGCTTTTAAGAAAAAAGCTGTTGGTTAAGTTTGGAGTTTAGATCGTAAACATGAACTATTTTTATCGTTTTGAATTACATAGGTTCAGAGTTAAATATCAAACAACGAAAGAGAAACATTTGTTTCAAAATTAAGGCTTATTTCTTTAATAATATTTTACGCGTGTTTTTAAAATTCTTCTTCTTCCTGCTTTGTGTGCTGCAGAAACAAGGAATCAGTCTTTCGGCCGGCCACCCTTCGCCTTGTCAAATAAAGACATTTTTGATATTCGACAACGGGCCAGTTCCCCAGGCAACTTTTGCGTTCAGTTAATGGGAAGATTGTTTACTGTTGATGAACGAATTCAAAAGGACAGAAATGTTACGACCCTAGGAAAAGCAAGCAGAAATTCCGGGGTATTTTACCACGAAGACGTACTTACCACGCAAGAGACTCGTACGTTCAACTTGCTTTCAATGTACGTGTTAACAAAAAGGGGGGTGAGCGCACTTCCTCCGTGCGTTTATCTTACTTCCAAAGTGCGTGGCGAGTACTACTACCGGAATCAGAATCAGAATCAGAATCAGAAGTTTATTGACAATCGCCCTACATCCGGGCATGATCAAATACAAATACAAGAAGTAATCCGCATAGTGATTACCATATACAGTTTGATATACATTATATAATGTCTACCATACTTGTGAAGTACGTCACACTAAGACGACGCACGTGACCAGCACGATAAAAGTGCAGGCGATCCCGAGCAACCACTGCCAGCATTAGCAACTGCAGTAATCGATGGCGCATCCTTCTTGGAAGTGCCTTTTTGGAAGCCAAAACAGTGAATGTTGAAGAGACTCGGTGCTCCCTTTTATATTATTTTGATTATCCGTGCGTTCCACTTCCGTGCTCATTACGTTTCTCTTACGTTTCTCTTACTTCGTAAGTACGATTTCTGAAAACGTACGCTTCACTAGCAATACACGTATGATTATCTCACTCACTGTGTACGACACAAGTACAGATCGAACGTGCTCCTTACTTCTTCCTACTTCCAAACAGGCGTACAGACCACTTGCGGGCCCCACGTTTAGAGCACGACACACCTACTCATAAAGTACTTAGGCCTACTACTTACGTCCGCTGCGATTTAATTTTCATCCTGCGACAACGCTACGTCTGACAAGAACTCCGAGGACGCACGATCTCTAAGCACGCACGACGGGTTGTAAGAGAGGCTTTAGCCGGCTAAGCTGACAGTAATCTAGTAAGACTTCCCATAGGGATAGATCGATCTAAAATCAGTGGGAATGGGGTCTAAGACGCGATAATTAACCGACGGGGCAGGGCATGGTACTATAGTTAACAGAAATCAAACAGAGCATGGATGACAATGTTATTTTCGTGGTTACCGCGCCAGGCCGTATGAAGTAAGGAGTAAAGAGACTTTTCAGGCGGGCGTGTATTTTCGCATCCCAGACAGTAATTTTTATCATCCGTCACAAATAAAGTTGACAACATAGCAAAAGTCGCAATATTCTTCTCATTCTTAACGTACCTTGCAATCTCTCCTCTGTCACCGTCGAGCTCAAAGTGAAAATACGACGCAACACAATTCTAGGAACCTTATCTTGTATCTCGTGATAGGGGCGTCTGGACTCAATAGGCCAAACCGAACCCGGGAAATATTAGGCAGAAACCGATATCAAAACTTATTAAAGCGATACCAGCTCTTCATTTTGGCAGGAAAAGTGAAAAGAGAAAAACTGATTATCCTGGGGAAAACGACAATTTTGGCGAGCTTAAAGTTAAAATTTTGAGCATATCTATATGTATGTTTTCCATACCTCATTGCTCGGTCATAGGCCAAAGGTACATTGGTCCGAAAATGGGTCAAGAAAAAAAGGGGTGCTGAAGAGAGAAACTAAAAATGCAGGGGCGGATTCAGAGTTATTTCCTGACAGTCTTCCAAATTATCTTTGTTGATCCGTTCTTCATTTTTGACCGTCTTCCGACAGAAAAAAATTAGATACCCGCCAATGTAAACTTGAAAATCTGACCGTCTTCCGGAAGACCCAGAAGACGCCCTAAATCCGCCCCTGAAATGCCCATGTTTTGGCACCCGTCTGTTCACTATATCTGCTGCCGAGACTTGGGATATCGTAATTAAAAACAGCAGTTTTAATTAAAATTAGCAGTGTCTGCAAGCTCACTCCGCTGGTGATAAGAAAACAGAGACCCGAGCTCCCGTGTCTTGGTCCCGCCTGTCCTGCCCGGTGACTTGTCCTGCCCGGTGACTGATCCTTGTGAACGGCGTCAGTTTTAGTACACTTGATATACCTGCAGGTTATGGCTGGGGGGCCTTTTGTTTCTTTTGAGTTCATTAGTTGCTACGGCGAGATCAGTGGCGCATTTGGGGGGGGGGGGGGGGTCTGCAAAACACTACGGGCGAGATTAGATAAATTCAAGCGATATTAATTGCTTTCTCTTTACCATACACAGATATCAAATTCAAATTAATTGAAAACTCTAAATGTTTATATATTACATACAAAGATGCCATGTCAATCGACCCCCCCACACACACACAGTGGTGGATTTAGAGGGGGGTCAGGGGGGGTCCTAACCCCCCTCCTTCGATTTCTGGCCCCCCATTAAAATTAGAATTTTGACTAGCTGAATGATAGTCCTAAACCGTACCAAATGGCATCGTTCACCCTCTAGTTAAATACCAAAGATTTCCCAGGCCCCGAACCCCACGCTAAGTGGGGGAGGGGGGGGTCGGCTTCGCATCCACGGACACCCCTTCAAGTAATCCTAGATCCGCCCTTGCACACACACACACACACACACACACACACACACACACACACATTTGTAGACCGGTCGGCCAGGTTAAGCCCAGCTGCAGCGTTCAAAATACGCCTAGATGTGAATGTTATTAAACATTACTCAGAATTAAAAGTGTGATAAATTTAAACCAATTTTGTTAATGTGTCAAGCACTGCCGTATAATACGGTGAAACGTACGCCTTCGTATCTGTACAACAATTTATGTTTTTTTATTTTGCTTCAAAAAGATTTTTCGCTTTTTTACTCCTTAGTTGCACCTTTCCCTGCTTTTTTAATCGAAGCAACTATTTCCAGCCTTTCGTAAGTTTTTCTGTTGTATTCATCTACTTGTTTATTTTGTTTATTTTTCTTCATTTATTACATATTTTGTTGCTATTATTTATTTATTAATTTGTAGACAGACTGTGTTGACAGTGTGTTGTACTCCAATATACAAAATGCGGATTTCTGAAGGATAAAGATTTCTTGAACAATTTTTCGTTATAAAGCATTGATTTCTGCCTAACAGACTGTTGTTTACTTTTTATTTTTCTATTTAGAATTGGTCCGTCTGCCTTGACAATGGCGCTTATTGTGCATTTTCCACCCACTGTTGTATTGACATTTTCGGCCTCGCTGGAAAGGATTATTTTGCTATTGTTAATCAATTATTTATTTAAAAAACGCCGTTACTCGTTACTCTTTATTATTTGAAGAAACATAACCTGTCTTATTTACCCTCTGAATGCATTAAAAAAATAATAAAAATAAATAAATAAATAAATAAACGCCGACTCCTGATAGCTCTAGAGGCGGGGTCGAAGCAGCGCTGAACATTTTTAGTTTCGACAAATACCAAAAGATGACGCAAGAGTGGTTTTATTACTTTTGAGTTATTTAGGCACGAATATAAACATAAATAGTCTAGATGGGATTTTTCTAGACCAGTTTCATGAAATTTGCATCATTTTCTACTTACTCCAGAGCACTCACATAAAATCATTGAATATTTATATTTATATTTGATTTTACTTCTATGGTTGTGGACTGTCTTGAGGCATCCATCATGGCGGTAGAAGAAATGCCAAAACTGGGGTCTGCAATTTGAGCATAATAGTTCTGCATTTTCTAGCCACTTTTTCTCGTTATTTTTTCGAGATAAGCTTCCAGGTATGTATTTTCTTAAAGGTATACAATGCCTGGAAATTAGCATAAGTTTTAGTTTGTCGTGGCCATAAAACTCCCAACTCGGTATTTGAAGATTTGCAGGACCACCCCTTGTTAAGTTTTTTAGAAGTTCAGCAGACATGGTTACGATATACATAGAACTTTGGCGAAATCTAAACACGCGTGACTATTTTTTGTATGATTTTTATAACTTAAAAAACATTCTTTACACAGCAGGCGTACAACCTCCTATAGGAGAACTTTTATCTTGGTCAACAAAAGGAGGCTTTCTGACAGTAGACGCGCTGTTATCGCCACCCTCCGGAGGTTATCTACCTTTATTTACAGCTGGAGGTAAGTCTGGAAGATAACAAGACCACAGTCGAATCCAGTTACTTACCCTATTTGGGGCCGTAGCTGTAGTACGAAGGTTCATTGTTCCAAATGCTCACTATATAGAATTTTTGGTCCAGTGAACCCTTGATTAAAAAACTGATGAAAATGTTACTATTTTTTGGACCAATAAACCTTCGGACTATCGAGATGCCTCCGACCCTCTCCCCCCCCCTCCCCATTTCTACTTCTACAGTTTATTATTTTCTTGTTTTGCAGCATTGTGTCAATGTTAGAGGGGTCTTTGATGCATGGAACACAATCAATATTCAGTAATATCAAAAAAAAATTAATACTACAGAATATATAATTACTACTTTGTGATTTATATTAGAAGCTTGAAGTTCTGTTCACAAAATGTTACTTAATTGGGACAAAGAATCCATGAATCTCTCTCTGACATGAAAAATGTTATCTTCTAGTTAGGTCTGTTAATATCTAGCATTATTAGGAAATAAGTATCAAAAACTCTTATGCTCTGTTTACCCAAATGTAATGATCAAACCCTTGAGGCAAAGTAAGCATATAGATCTACTCTCTCAGTATACAAAAGTGGTGACTAGATATTTTTTGTTTGTACTACATCAACTTGATAAATTTTCTATTATACCACACACTGCCGTCATTTTCCTCAGCAAATCACATGTCATAGTGGCCATTTAGAATAGAAGAACCCAGTATGAGTTGGTCTGCAGATCAAATATGGCAGACCCTACATGAAAGCAAGACCGCCTTATCCCTTAATGGTCTCCCTTAATGGTCTCCACATGCTCCTTCCCTGCATAGGTCTAATAATTAAGCTGAAATTTAATCTATTTAGAGGCGGGGAGACCAGTAAAGGATAAGGCGGTCTTATTTTCATGTAGGGTACGCCATATTTGATCCGTGGACCAGTAGCTCCAAGGATCATCTCTTCTGAATGCCGCCATGATCAGCATGTCTGTGGTTACCATTAGGCAGATACCCATCCTGAATATTTAAAGGACATTAAGGATAAAGATATTCAAGGTTAATGAAAACATGTCTTCCATGAATTTCATTATTGTCTGTTGCATTTGTTGCATTATTCAAAAGCAGAGCAGCCTGGTGATATTATCATTTATGTACACTGTACACCATTGTGCTATATAGGAAAAATACAGAAGACTTAAATTTAGTAATAAAGTTTCAAAGTTTTCTGTAATTAGATCTGAAAGTTTATCAAACACTCACTTTTTGGAAGATTTCTCAGAATAGTCTCAGAATACGCAGACCTGTAGTTAATAGCAGTTGCAATCTCTACTATACAACAGTGACCACATGTTCATATGGTTACAAGTGTGTGTGTGTGTATTCTGTATAGCTGAGATGATGCTGATATTTATAATTTGGCTGAAAGAATTTGACTTAGTTTTATATAGATACCTCACTATATGGAATATACCCCCCCCCCCCCCCAAGATGCATCATTATTACAGTCAGTATATATTACAAATGTTAGTCTGGCACTGTCTCCAGATTTTATTTACTATTTTATATCAAGAAAATGAAAAAAAAATTGTTTTTTGTGTCAAAAGATTTTATTGATTTCAAACCGATTCCACTAAAGCTTCATGTTATTGTCAACTTTTATATATTTGTGTAGCTGAAGCCATAAAATCTCAATAGCCTTCAGCAGGGTTCTCCCCAGGCCTTTATAGCGNCCCCCCCCCAATTCTACTTATACAGTTTTTTATTTTCTTATTTTGCAGCATGGGGTCAGTGTTAGAGGGCTCTTTGATGCATGGAACACAAACAATATTCAGTAATATATAAAAAAATTAACACTACAGGATATATAATAATTACTTTGTGATTTATATTAAAAGTTTAAAGTTCTGTTCACAAAATGTTACTTAATTGGGACAAAGAATCCATGAATCTCTCTCTGACATGAAAAATGTCATCTTCTAGTTAGGTCTGTTAATATCTAGCATTTTTAGGAAATAAGTATCAAAAACTCTTATGCTCTGTTTACCCTAATGTAATGATCAAACCCTTGAGGCAAAGTAAGCATATCTACTCTCTCAGTATCCTTAAAGTGGTGAATAGATATATTTTGTTTGTACTACATCAACTTGATAAATTTTCTATTATACCACACACTGCCGTCATTTTCCTCAGCAAGTCACATGTCATAGGGGCCATTTAGAATAGAAGAACCGAGTATGAGCTGGTCTGCAGATCAAATATGGCAGACCCTACATGAAATCAAGACCTCCTTATCCCTTAATGGTCTCCCCGTCTCCACATGCTCCTTCCCTGCAGAGGTCTAATAATTAAGCTGAAATTTAATCTATTTAGAGGCGGGGAGACCAGTAAAGGATAAGGCGGTCTTATTTTCATGTAGGGTACGCCATATTTGATCTGTGGACCAGTAGCTCCAAGGATCATCAGTTCTGAATGTAACCATGATCAGCATGTGTCTGTGGTTACCATTAGGCAGATGCCCATCCTGAGTATTTAAAGGACATTAAGGATAAAGATATTCAAGGTTAAATGAAAACATGTCTTCCATGAATTTCATTATTGTCTGTTGCATTTGTTGCATTATTCAAAAGCAGAGCAGCCTGGTGATATTATCATTTATGTACACTGTACACCATTGTGCTATATAGGAAAAATACAGAAGACTTAAATTTAGTAATAAAGTTTCAAAGTTTTCTGTAATTAGATCTGAAAGTTTATCAAACACTCACTTTTTGGAAGATTTCTCAGAATAGTCTCAGAATACGCAGACCTGTAGTTAATAGCAGTTGCAATCTCTACTATACAACAGTGACCACATATTCATATGGTTACTAGTGTGTGTGTGTGTGTGTGTGTGTGTGTGTGTGTGTGTGTGTATTCTGTATAGCTGAGATGATGCTGATATTTATAATTTGGCTGAAAGAATTTGACTTAGTTTTAGATACCTCACTATATGGAATATACCCCCTCCCAAGATGCATCATTATTACAGTCAGTATATATTACAAATGTTAGTCTGGCACTGTCTCCAGATTTTATTTACTATTTTATATCAAGAAAATGAAAAAAAAATTGTTTTTTGTGTCAAAAGATTTTATTGATTTCAAACCAATTCCACTAAAGCTTCATGTTATTGTCAACTTTTATATATTTGTGTAGCTGAAGCCATAAAATCTCAATAACCTTCAGCCTTCTTCTTCATGGCTCATTTCATATTTCGAACCCCCTGGATATCAGTGTATTCAACCTAATATGTTACATATTCCGCGGAGATGGTGACGGTGACGGTGACGCTGCCGTCCAAGGACAGGACAGACCCAGTGTGGAATGTGTTAGGGTCTGTTACAGATGGTTTCCTCTCCATGTTTTGTATGCATAATGCCTTGGGCTCATGATCAGGTATATCTAGGACGCATTTCCAGTCAGGTTATGTGTGTTTAACTTGGAACTTGCTGTTTCCACTCCATTTTTTTGTGTGCATAATGCCTTCAGCTCAGTAATGAAGGACGTATTTCTAATCAAGTTATGTAGGTTTAATTTTACACTTGCTGTCTCAGCATATCCTAACCTGGTGACACTTTATAACCAGAGTAACCTTGTCTTTTTTAGAGAGTACAGTAAGAGTAAGAATGACAGAAGTAGAACACTTTTGGAGAAAGATTGTTGGCCTAATCCAATTGCTAGAATTCTTCAACAGTGGTCTGCTGAAAAGGAGAAGGGGGGAAATGGGGGGGCGTAGAAAGAGGGAGAGAGAAGGAGTGGAAGGGAATAGCAGAAGTAAATGCAAATTGATTACTGTATGTCAGGGAATGAGGAGAGATGGGGGTGGGGGGGGGGAGGGGGGGGCAGCAGAGCATCTTAAATAACAACATAAACCTATACAGGATAAAATTACGAAATGTTCAAGGGTGCATTCCCAGAGATTTAGATCGATCCAGAGATTTAGATTTAGATCGACCTAACTCCCTGGGGGTTCACGCTAAATTGCAGTCAGCCGAGCGCGCACCATAGTTAATTACCCCCTTACAGCTTTTATAGTAGGTGGGACAAATGCTTAGCCGGCTAAGCTGACAGTAATCTAGTGAGACTCCCCACAGAGATATATCGATCTAAAATCTATGGGAATGGGGTCCAAGAGATATGCTGAGAGGAAGGTGGGAAATTGCACCATTGTGTGAATATATTATGAGAGCTGGTCATTGCTGCCCTTTTCACTGCAGTGGCTAGAGCTGTCTATGAGCGCATTCTCAACGAATTAAGCCAGGCTTTACAAAGCCGGTGACCTAAAAATGGCGGACGTACATGAAAGAAAAACCGCCTAATCTTTTAATAGTCTCTCCGCCTCTCACACGCCTCCCCACACGTCGTCCCTGCGGGGTACAGTAATTAAATCTCGGCTCCGAACATTAATATTTCCGTGAATATCTCTGGTGATATTATCTCCTTAGATAGTCGATTCATTGCTGCTCTACGGGCCAAATTATTCCTTTTTCGTCTCTGTTTTCAAAGATAATAGAACAGAAGAGCTTTTTTTTTTTCGATCGCCTTCAGCCGCTATGCCTTCTTCACCACGAGTTTAACTGATGAGCATGCGCACTTAATATTTCTCAGGTAGCTTCCGCATGGCGAACGGAGCCGAGATTTAATTACTGTACCCCGCAGGGACGACGTGTGGGGAGGCGGAGAGACTATTAAAAGATTAGGCGGTTTTTCTTTCATGTACGTCCGCCATTTTTAGGTCACCGGCTTTGTAAAGCCTGGCTTAATTCGTTGAGAATGCGCTCTATGTGTTATAAGAACTGGTCACCCTGTCCTTTTCACAGCAGTGGCTAGAGCTGTCTATATGTTATAAGAACTGGTCACCCTGTCCTTTTCACTGTAGTGGCTAGAGCTGTCTCTGTGTCTGCATTCAGCTGTAAATAGACTCAAGTGTGTGGAACCCCAAATTATCCTCCCTCAATCACAGCTATTAGGGCAGTCTTCTTTTGTGACAATAAATATTTGTCTGACTTGAGAAAAAAGGGCATAATTACTGTGCTTGTCAGTCTGAGTATCACCAAGACATTTTGGTCACTTTCACTGTCTCTTTGTGTGATGGCCACAGCTGGCTGCTGTAGCTCTGTTTCAGCCCTGATGTAGACAGCTCAAGTCTGATGGAAACACACAAGATATTGTCAGTCAGTTTGATGTTTTAAATTGCAGTATAGCTGTGTGTTTATAGCAGAGGAGACATTATAGGAGAGATCCAGGTAAGGACAAACATACATTGTTGTTTATTGCTTCAGGTGTTAAAAAGAAGAATTTCATCAGCTGTGTTGTGTTATAACAATATCTAGGCATTTTTGTCAAGAGGTAAACAATATCAGTATTAGCTAGGGATTGAAGAAGAAATTACTACTCAGTACTTTATTTGAGTGTTTATTTATGTCTTTGTTTGAAAGAATAAATAAGTGGTTGATATAAACAATTCTTCATTTTTCAATAAAACCTAATTTAGGTGTGGTACTGGTATGGAATTGCTGTTTATCTTCCTCACCTTGATAAAATAAGAGGTTGACGTAAACAATTCTTAATATTTCAATAAAACCCAGTTTAGGTGTGGTACTGGTATGGAATTGCTGTTTTTTTACTCACCTTTCCCTGCATATTCTTTGCCCCCCCCCCCTCCACCCCTCCCGTCTCTGAGTTGACAGCTATTTTAAGGATGGTTGCACAGCACTGAGTGCATTTTATCATTGGCAACATCTGAGATGGTATCTGATTGTCCAACAGAAAACTAACATAACTCTCATCTTAGTCATCTATGTGGGGATATAGAGTAATTATATTTTGTAATCATATTATTGGTTTAGTAAAATAGCAAACAGTTGAGATAGGGAAACAGGTTATATAGATGGCTTGTGACATACTAGTTGTGTAGTTGGAAATGCAACAAGCACTTTGTTGGTTTCAGGCATGTTGTTTATATTTCACCAGATTTATAAAACTGATAAAACATTCTGATTTCTGTGGGTTATGTTTTAGTTTTCATATGTCAGAGCATATTTTTATAGCATTTGGTGAAAAAAATACCACACCAACAAGAGCCCAGATTTACAATATGGAACTATGCAATTGTTGCTGTAAACTCTCCGTCATATTTTGAATAATGAACTCACATGTGGAAAATTGTTGTTTAACAAGAGTCAGATTTAGGGACTGTCTCTGGTGGAGATTTGTTCTTGCGTGCAGTTTTCCCCGCAGAGCTTCATTAGTACCCAGCACACGGCTGTAGTGTTGTCAAGTGTGTACAGCTCAGGGCATGGTGTACCAGCTTTCACAGAGCTCAAGTCCACAGGGTGTACCAGCTTTCACGGGGCTCAAGTCTACTGGGTGTACCAGCTTTTACAGAGCTCAAGTCTACAGGGTGTACCAGCTTTCACAGAGCTCAAGTCCACAGGGTGCACCAGCTTTCATGGGGCTCAAGTCTACAGGGCGTACCAGCTTTTACAGAGCTCAAGTCTACAGGGTGTACCAGCTTTCACAGTGCTCAAGTCTACAGGGTGTACCAGCTTTCACAGAGCTCAAGTCATCAGCAACACTGTCTGTATTTCTCTAATTACTATAATATCTGTGCCAAGAGAGTACAGTGCACTTTCTCCAGATGTCCAAAAATATGTATGCTTATTGTATTTTTTGTCATGCTGTTTAGATACAAGTTGGTGAGATTATAAACCCGTGTCTCTCTGCTAAGAGGGTATCATATATATATATATATATATATATATATATATATATATATCCTAATAGTACTATGTGTCCTCTAAACATCAGATAGGACAAATGTCTGTGTTAAGAGGGTACTTGATTACACTTGATTATATTTTAAACGGCCAATGTTTTAAGACATCAAACAGTGTGTCTGTGTTAAGAGGGTACTTCATTATACTTTAAATGGCCAATGTTATAGACCTAAACGTCTATGTTAAGAAGGTACTTCATTATACATTAAACGACCAATGTTATAAACATCAAACGTCTGTGTTAGAGGGTACTTCATTATACTTTTAATGGCCAGTGCTATAGACATTCAACAGAACGTCTGTGTGAAGAGGGTCTGCAACACACGCCATAAATCCATAAGTCTGCATCAGTCAGATTCCTGGTCACATTAAGCTGCCGTGACAATGACAAAATGACTCTCTATCACTCTACAGCTCCATCAGGGTCCGCAAGTTGTTCATCTTCTGCTGTAATCACATTTAGGACAGCAGTCTGCTCTGAGAACGAACACTGTCATAACAGGCCGTCAAGTTCAGGTACATCGCAGGTGTCATTATTGTCTTCTCCACTGATGGACAAGGCATGGATTACCAGGCTAGAAGACATGCCACAAGATCAAGATCCGTCATCTGGAGACAAGATAACTGATACATCAGAAAACATAGTACATGAAATAAAAGTGTCACAGGCTTGTTGCTTGAATGACGTTACTGTGGAAACATTATCAGATGAAAACAATGTGGCACAAGTGTTGGTGTCTGTAATTTCACTGGAACAGTTATCAGACACAGATGAGATGCCTGGGGCATCTTTCATCAGGGAGGATGATTTTTCCTTGGAACTGTTATCAGTGTTGAATGGAGAGGAGGGGGAGGAAGAAAGATTAGACAGAATTGGACAATCAAATGTTTTCACTGAAGGGCAAGTTTCAGTGGTTGTGTCTGAAAAGAAGGTACTCACAGATTCCTCCTTAACATCTGCGAGTGATGAGCATCCCTCTGGACAGTTATGTCTGTTAGATGGCAGTGATAAGCTCAAGGGAGGAGACAAAGTATTAGATGGAGTTGGTGGTGAAGACTTCGTTGGCACTGAAAATAAGATTTCACTAACAGAGTCAGAGAAAGAGATTCTTCAGAAATCCTCAGCTGCAGATGAGGTGTTTTTGTTGGAAAAGACCATAGACAGAACTAACATGCCAGAAGTCCTTTTTTCAAGAGATGTAGGGTTACCATTGGGACATTTAGTAAACTGTATTGCAAATGAGGAGGAAGAGGAGGAAATATTTGATTCAATTGAAGTAAAGTCTAACTGTGCTGAAGAACAAGCTTCCATCAGTTCATCTGATGAACAGTTACCACCAATGTTGTTGACTCTGTGTAAACAGTTTCTGTTTCAACAACTATCAGATAAATCTAAGATGCAAGGAGCTCCTGCTGTAAATGAGTTTCTGCTGAATGGAGATGATGGTTATTGGGGAGAGAATAAAATATTAAATGGAGATTTAGAAAAATCTGTTTGCTATGAGAGAGAGGTGACATTTCTGCTGTGCGAAAAAAATATGCAGCAACGTGAGTCCTCTAAGGGGGAACAATTAACAGTCAAAACTGGAACTCCTGAGGTCACTTCTTCAACAGTTCAAGTATCCCCAGTGATAATAGAGACATTAGGGACTGGAGTTTGTAATGATAGCAGAGAGAGTGAGGTATCTGGTGGTAGTAGTAGTGCAGAGTATGATGACAGCAACATAAAGATCTCACTGAAACAATCAGGAATAGAGATGGAGAACGAGATCTTACTGAAACAATCAGGAATAGAGACAGAGAGCGAGATATCTGATGAGCAATCAGGAATAGAGACACAGCAAGAAACTTCAGCAGTGGATGACAAGTTTCCTTGGGATCTTTTAACTTTATTGATTGAGGAGGAGGAGGAAGATGACAAAGAAGAGAGAATGATATTGAATGAGGACGAAGATGATGATGACAAGGAAGAGAGGATAACATTAAATGGTATTGAAGAACACGTTTCAGATGCTGGGTCTGAAAACACAATGCTACCAGACTCTCCGCGAGGACTTAACCTGGCATTGAAAAGATTGGCGCAAAAAATCAAAACATGGCAAGATGGTTCCACAGAGGAATCTTTAACAAAGAAAACTAAACTGTCACAGGCTGCTTCATTGAGGGATGGATGTGGATATTTACTGGAGCAGCATACGTCACAGAATGGAGGAGAAAATGGCAGTGAGAGGGACTCGGGACAGTCTGATAACATTTTAGATAGACGGGAAGTAATTTGTAATGGAGAGCAGGATTGGGTGATGTTGTCAGAGAAATTTGAGAATGGAGGTATAGCTGACTGCAGTGTCATTGATGAGGACTCCGGTATCCATATAGACCCAGGTATTGTAGTAATATTAAACAGAAGTCAATGGAAATTGGGGTATCTATGACCATAGCTCATAAAGTGCCTGCAATATTAACAACAGTGGCTGACATTGTGGTGAGAAGTTAGTTAGATGTGGATTATTAAAGATCTGGGATCAGTGACGGGTTAATATCAGAGATGTAGGTACTAGTACAGGTATTGTACATGTTAGGAATGGCAGTTATATGGAGAGAGAGAGGGAGGGAGGGAGGGAGGGAGACAGGGTTATAGATAGTGTTTTTGGTATTTTCCAAAATACAGTGTAAGTTGTCAGTGTGTCCTGAGGGTTGAGATATTGTGAAAATGACAGGTGTTGGTGACATGTTAAAATCTGTCACCACACTAGGTGAAGTGGCAGGTAGGACAGGTGTATAGGGAACACAGGTGTGGTGGGGACACAGGTGTATAGAGAACACAGGTGTGGTGGGGACACAGGTATATAGTGAACACAGGTGTGGTGGGGACACAGGTATATAGTGAACACAGGTGTGGTGGGGACACAGGTATATAGTGAACACAGGTATAGTGGGGACACAGGTATATAGAGAACACAGGTGTGGTGGGAACACAGGTGGGTTACAGTGTTAAGAGTGATGGTGTCTTCAGTAGAAAAAGATATTTTGTAAGTTTTAAGACCAGGTAATAGATGCTAGATTGGAAATCTCTCTCTCTCTCTCTATTTTTTTTTCATAAATTTAAGTTCCGATAGCACACATTCCCCTAAGTTATTAGTTATAATTCACTGGTAAAAGACACATTTATCCATATATTACTGCTGCTGAGACTATTGACAAGGTGAAATGATATGGATTTTGTTGTTTTGCAGTCACAGTATATACTACCGTTTATGATGTTAATGAGTGAGTTTCATGTTTATGAGCATGGTAGTCGGAATTGTTGATTGTGATACATTTGCATAAAGCCACTTGTTATGTTCTTGTTAACATGAACAGTGGTGACGTATGCTTGTGTGTAAAAAATAATTTCTTAAGAAAAATAGTTTTATGAGTCAAAAAGGTGGTATCTTTAGAATGTTGACCTAGATGATATAATGTTGACCTCAGTGATATATGAATGTTGACCTCAGTGATATCTTAGAGGTGACTTCAGAGGTGAATGAAATTCACCTCAGTGATATTTTAAGTTGACCTCAGTGATATCTTTATGTTGAACTCAGTGATATCATTGTGTTGACCTCAGTGATATCTTTATGTTGACCTCAGTGATATCTTTATGTTGACCTCTGATATCTTTATGTTGACCTCAGTGATATCTTCATGTTGACCTCTGATATCTTTATGTTGACCTCAGTGATATCTTTGTGTTGACCTCTGATATCTTTATGTTGACCTCAGTGATATTTTAAGTTGACCTCAGTGATATCTTTATGTTGACCTCAGTGATATCTTCATGTTGACCTCAGTGATATCTTTGTTGACCTCAGTGATATCTTTGTGTTGACCTCTGATATCTTTGTTGACCTCAGTGATATCTTTGTGTTGACCTCAGTGATATCTTTATGTTGACCTCAGTGATATCTTTATGTTGACCTCAGTGATATCTTTGTGTTGACCTCGGTGATATCTTTATGTTGACCTCAGTGATATCTTTGTGTTGACCTCAGTGATATCTTTATGTTGACCTCAGTGTACTGTCCAGCTGTGACCTGGCTGAGGTGACCAGTACCTGGTGGTGTGGAGTGGCCAGTGGCTATTTTACCTGCATTCTATCTCCTGGTCATTAAATGGTCATCTCAGTTTTATTGCCCAGCATTTGCCAGTTAATATCTCAGTGACATCAGGTGGCTGACACGTAGAGAGAGAGAGAGAGAATGCTTGTGACCCTTCCTTCAATTTCTGAAAAAAAAAAACAAATTACCCCCTCTTTGAATTAAAATTTTCACTAGCTGAATCATAGTTCTAAACTATACCAAATGGCACCATTTGGCCTCTTAAATACCATATTTTTCAGGGCCCTTCAGTGGACCCCAGACCACACACCAAGGGAGTGGGTGGTGGTGTCGGCTTCGCATTTTTGGACCCCCCTTTAAATAATCCTGGATCTTTGTAAGGAGATAGAGAGGGAGAGAGGGAAAGAAAATGTGTGTATATGCGTGTGTGTGGTGTGTGTGTGTGTGTCTATTTATATAGAATTAAGATGAACTAAAATATAGTGAAGACATGTATTGGTTTAGATAAGACACCAATCATCATAAATAAAACACTAAATTCACATTAAAAAAATAAACAAGAGAAGATTATCATGTTAATGACTTCAAAACAGAACTATCATGGGAAGATTTTTTTATATTGTGATATTTGCTATACATTTACATTTTTTCTTTGTAAAATTAAGTTCTGAAATTAGCTGGTGTTTTAAGTCTATTTCTCCTGCCAGATGTTGTTATCTCTTTTAAAGTATACCAGTCTGCTGACAAGATACTGCTCAGGGTCATATCTGACGTCTTCTTTAGCATGGTGGCTGAAATTAACTTGTCAGCTTGAAATGACAAATGAACCTTAAAAGCAATTTACAGTCTGCAAGGTCTTGTTGACAACTTTCTTGCCATCTAGCTTGAAGGGTAACATGCTTATTTCCTTGTAAGTTGATAGTGATGGACAATTTAGCTCTTGAATAACAATTTCTGGAATCCTAATGTCTCGTAAAATGTTTTCAGATGGTTTTATGCAAAGTGTATTTTTAAATTTGTTTATTGGTGATGATTTTTGGTTAAAAAATGTGTTACTTTGATCCTGGAAGAGGTACTACAGGATTAGGGAGATATATAGGATTAAAAAAGGGAGATATAATCCCAGCATTATAATACCATGACGGGGTTTACAAAAGCATAGTGAATTTTAGCCATGGTTTGAATAAAAAAAACTTGACTTTGACAAATAAATAACTGAAGTAAATTGCTATTTTGCCAAGTTTTAAATACTGTTTCATCAGAGATAATTAAGCTGTCTAGCTGAAATAAGCAATATCCTAAAGTGAGTCTTGTATGTCAGAAGATGTAGATAATCAGCCCAGTTATATTAATACCAACAAGTTATATTATACTGCTATACCTGTGTCACATTGGATGTGACATTCTCGCCTCATTTAATGTGTCACTAATGTCCATTTGGTGACAAGTACTGACTGATGTCCCATAGTAACCAGGTATGACATGCTTCACGCCACTTACTCCACAGGTGTGTTATGACACCTGGACAGGTGGAATTAGTGTGTGTGTGTGTATGTGTGTGTGTTCGTGTGTGTGTGTGTGGGGGGGGGTTACTGTCAAAATTCAAACAAAATGTTTTGAATAGATGGCCTTTTTTTATTATGGCGCCGTGGTTCTGGGGTTTACTAGTGAGATGAGGAGGGGGGAGGGGTGGAATTGGGAGGTGACCTGACGGGTGTCAGGATGGAATAAGTCTCTCTCTCTCTCTCTCTCTCTCTCTCTCACCCCCCCCCCAATCTCTCTCTCTCTCTTTCTCTCTCTCTTTCTCTATCTGTCTGTCTCTCTCTCTCTCTCTCTCTCTCTCTCTCTCTCATGTTAACATTACTACTGGTTACATCTACCTAGTAGTGGGAGTGATAGACATCTAGAACTGGTTATAACTTATCATAATGCAGCATGCCATGCCAGGGGTGGCTTGATATGAGCAGGTGTCACAGAATGCCCCAATTTAGTCAACATATTACGTGCTTGTGGGATATTGTTAGTAGAGTCCTTTGGACTGAGAGTAGGACAAATACAGAAGTGTTATAGAATCAGTCATTAGTTTGCATACTGGATTAGGGATATATGTTAACCAATTCTTAGTTTTAAAAAGCACAGTAAATGTGACACAGATTAATCTACATCTGTTGCTCTGGCTATGACTCGTTTCAGGTCACAAACTCTGCTCTGTAGATTTTATTTTACGTCAGTAAAATGGTAGTCCAGCCATAATCTGGAAATTTTTTTTACTGCCTGTCTGAATGTTTGACTTTTCCAAAAAGTTTTGAACATATCTGTTATATTCCAAGAAGCACCATTATGTGATCTATAAACTTATTCAAGATGCATGATGTTAAATTTTGTTATATTTTCAGTTTTGTTTGAGATTGAGTATATCTTGATGAAGCTGAACAGTAATGACAAAGACCCGAAGACGGAAGCAGCCATGACATCTGTAGCCACAGACGAGAAGGTATGTAGCTAAATAGTTATGGCAAGGAGAAGAAGACAACAGGTTTTTGCATCCCCCCTCCCCAAACATGCTAACAATTGTATTAAATGCAGTTCTGCATACGTGTGTTTGTGCGTAAATGTGCATGTGTGCACATGTCAACACACGTGCGTATGATGTGATGTTAGACGTCATTTAGAGAGAGAGAATTTTGGCAAGGCCACCTGTTATTAAACAAAAATTGAAATGTGTCCAAGAAATGTCTAGGACTGGTTAATGATACTGAGCCTTGCAATTATATTTGTACATATATCTTTATCATTAATATTCCTAAGCGTGTTCACCTGTGACCCTTTTCCCTGCCTTTTAAAAAGGGATTGTGTCCCCAGAAGTCTTTAAGCCATCAATTATGTCTACGGTGTTTATCCTCAAATTTCACAAACCTCATTTATTCCAGTTCTATTTCCAAGATAAACCATTCTGAATCTCTGTCAAGGATGTACTTTTTGCTGACATGTGCCAAACTCACTTTCCGTATCTTTCAAAAATTTTCATTTTCATGTGTTGCCAAAACTGACAAATAAATTAATGTAGTCCTTGAATTAAGTCTGATTGCAAGAAGTTCACCCAAACCTCTGCGGTGTTTTAAGTAAAACCTGCTGCATCAATCGCAAACACACATTTGGTATTCTGGAATCCACAGTTCTCCGTAGATGAACATTACTGTACTTGGTAAAATAAACCCTTAATTTAGGTGATGGATCTCAAATCAGTCACTGAAGTGAATATATGAACATGATGTGCACTGAAGCAGACATGTTTAGAAATTTAGGTTCCAAAGTGTGAAATTCAGGCTTCCACAAATAACCAAAGATGTACATATATGTATATAACTTTTGACACATGTCCAAAAAGGTCATTTTCTTATGCTGTTGCCACTTTCTTTAGGCCATCTTCCTAATACTAGGCTTTCAGGAAGGGGGGGTGTCACTTAATGTTAGTTCACAGTGTATGGTCACCTGTCAGTGTAAGCAAGGGGCAGTGTTAAAGCAGGGGGTGGGTCAGTGTTAGCTGGGGTGTACCTGAGGGGGTGTACCTGAGGGGGAGAGGGACTGGTCGGGAACCTGTGAGATACAGTTCAGCTTTATGACTTGGGCCACATATTTAGATATATGTATATTGATGGCTGTATGAAATCATTTCAATCATGAGGTAGAACTGGTCAGATTTGTTCAGTAATACCTCTCCTATACAACTGTTACTAAACATCTCAGTTCTTGAAGGCTCATAGGATGGCAAGCCAAGTCATAGGCCAGCTCCACAGTTAGCAATGTACTTCACAGAGTTCAAAATGTCTTAGACCACCTGTAGAGGTGTGGATATAAAACTGACCTGAGATGACTGACTGAACTGCTACAGGCAACACATGTTGAAGTTTGATGTAGTTGTAAATTACACCTGGACTAATTGTATGATAACACAAGGTGAGACCTTGGCTTCCCAATCTGAACTGATTAAATAGCTTTTTGACTTGGGAGTAAACAGACCTAAGTAAAGTACAACAAATAAGCATTCAAATTGATGTGTTGAAACGAATTATGACAACTTTGTATTTTTACAAAAAGTTGTTTAACTAACAAGCTGTGCACATAAAGTCGTCGTTAGCTTTGCCTATTCAAGTATTCCTCTTTACATTCAGCCCAAGTGTTTGTGAAGACGTTAAAGTCCTGCATTTTAAACCTCACTCCACTGCTCGTTGTTTGCGTAGTAGATTGATTAGGTCCTTTTGCGCCTTTGGAGAAACATTTAGCGTTGTACATGACGGCCCTGAATAATTGATGGCTGGTTAAGGATAGTTGATATGTAGGCAGGTCTAGAAGAATTGTTGTAGAATTGTTGACAGGTGATAGGAAACAGTCACACAGGTAAAGTGTATACTGTAGCTATCTGCAGGTGCACTGGTTCTTCGTATCTTATATTATCAGTTGTTTGTAAATGGTATTTTATGAGGCACTTCAATTAGGTCTTTGTGTTTAGGCATTCAGTGTTTGACTTTTGTGCGGGTGATAATTGTTCTGTTCCTCGTCTTCCTTGTGACATATTTCCATAGAACATAGGTACTGCTAATGTTGACAGCTTTCATATTAAGGAGAACTGACCATTCAGTTGTCTGCCAGGAAACATTGGGAGGAGGTGTTTTGAAGTGACTTTTCAGACGGAATTGGGTTTGGTGGCAGTTGGGAGTGGGTGCACCACATCATGCATCTCTGATATTGTCAGGTCTGACCCCCCCCCCCCCCCCCCCCCCCCACACACACACACACACTGAATATCAACGTGTGTGTACACACAAACATACACACACACACCTCCGTTTTTGGCCTACTTTCATCCAGTGATATTTTCTAGAGACAAAAACAGTACAGCTCTGGTGGGTCCACAGAATATGATTGTGGCCCAATCACAGAGTTTACAAAGTGTCAACAAGCTAAGATGGATGTGATGCACCTTGAAAAACAGTTAATTCTGTGCATTTTTAAACCAAAGGTTATTGAAAGTCGTCATATTCCTTCAAATAGTTAGATACTAAGATAAATGGGGGGAGGGTAGTCACAGAGATATATATCAGTTGATGTTGATGGAGGAGGCTGTATTTATTTGAGTGAGAACTACAAGAACTACAGCCCAGTTTTTATCAAACCGACAGAGACGTGATATCAGTGGTGCCAAGTCAAGTCTGCTCCTGATGAACTTCCATCTCCTGTGCCAAGCACCTGTAGTGTTAAACAGTGTGGAAAGAAAATAATCACACCATTATCAACTGTTAAGAAAGCTAACTCAAATATTGCATGCACTGTTTATGTAAGTCCTGGTCTTTATGTGCTGGTACAAGTGAAGTCTAGTGTTTTGGACATTTTTAGGGTTGTATGAAGAGTTTTGAATTGTTGTAATAAAAAAAATAATAATAATAATTACAGAGGGAGCAGTATTTACTCAAAATTTCTTGCTACAGCTCCTATCAACTTTATGGCTAGTGTAACCATTATAAATATTTTCCAAGAGCACTCATTTCTAGCATCAATCACAGACAAGTTTCTGACTGTTTCAGTTCTAAGTGAAATATTTCCACCTCCCTTTTAGGTCAATGATTTAAAACTTGGGAGTACTTAAGTTACGCTGTCAAGTAAAAAATCTGAAGGTTATTATTAATATGAAAGTATTTACTAAATCTATGTTCTGCTGTTACCTCTACATTTTAATCCATTGTCAACATGGTGAATTCCTATGAGGAAAATCTGCATTTGTCTTGGTAGTGTCAGGGTCAACTAGGGCCACTGGGATTAATTACTCCTAATGATGATAAGTAAAGATTAACGGGTCAAGTATCACAGCAGATATAGATTAAGGAGTGATTTGTGGTGATTAATTTTCCCAAGTTGTCTGTCATCTGGTGTGACATTTCACCAAGAGGTCACCTCTCTTTCCCTGTGACAACCTCTGCTGTTATTTCTTAGTCATTTGTGGTGATATTTCCTCACCAGCTGTTGAAACAAAGGACACCATCCCACTGTGACAGCCGTGAAGTTTAAGAGGATTTGAACTCAGTTTCATATTTAGTCATTTTATTATGATTGTTAAAAGTAATTTACTTAAAAGGTCAGATGATCTTATGAAGACCTGAGTTATAAAGAGATAAAAGTTCTACTGTGCATCTTATGAGGGTCCACTTGACTATCACCTAAATTTTAGGCCCCATTCAGAATAGGGACTAACTAGAGGATCAAATATGGTGACCCACTACAAAGCTTGCCATCTAATCCACTTATAGACACTGAATAGATATCCCGTGGGGAAGTATTCAAGTAGGTCGGCCATATTTGACCCTAGGACTAGTTAGTTCCCTATTCTGAATGGCCCCTTACTAGAAATTTTGTAGTGAAGTAGTTTGACATAACTGGTATGATGCACTGTTTCAAATAGGTTTTCAGCATATTTGTTATAAATGGATGTTGGGATATCTGGATAGAATAGACATTTTGCCCTCTTTAAATTTGTAGCAGACTATTGCTTCATACATTTTAGTTTACAAATTGTCTTGCATTATATTAAGATCTTATTATATCTTCCAGCAGGATATGAGTAAAAATGGCGACCCCTCCCCGCAGCCTTCCCACAATGCACGGCCTGGCTCCGGCCTGCGGAAACAGCTACCACCAGTTCCAGACTCTGAAACTCAGCTGAATTTAGCTTCCAAGATGATTGACAAGAAGACGTCCACACCCAAAGGGAACCATAGCTATGGGCCTTTCTTCTTAGAGTATTCCTTGTTAGCAGAATAGTGAGTTACTTTCTTCTTAGAGTATTCCTTGTTAGCAGAATAGTGAGTAACTTTCTTCTTAGAGTATTCCTTGTTAGCAGAATAGTGAGTTACTTTCTTCTTAGAGTATTCCTTATTAGCAGAATAGTGAGTTACTTTCTTCTTAGAGTATTCCTTATTAGCAGAATAGTGAGTTACTTTCTTCTTAGAGTATTCCTTATTAGCAGAATAGTGAGTTACTTTCTTCTTAGAGTATTCCTTATTAGCAGAATAGTGAGTTACTTTCTTCTTAGAGTATTCCTTATTAGCAGAATAGTGAGTTACTTTCTTCTTAGAGTATTCCTTATTAGCAGAATAGTGAGTTACTTTCTTCTTAGAGTATTCCTTATTAGCAGAATAGTGAGTTACTTTCTTCTTAGAGTATTCCTTATTAGCAGAATAGTGAGTTACTTTCTTCTTAGAGTATTCCTTATTAGCAGAATAGTGAGTTACTTTCTTCTTAGAGTATTCCTTATTAGCAGAATAGTGAGTTACTTTCTTCTTAGAGTATTCCTTATTAGCAGAATAGTGAGTTACTTTCTTCTTAGAGTATTCCTTATTAGCAGAATAGTGAGTTACTTTCTTCTTAGAGTATTCCTTATTAGCAGAATAGTGAGTTACTTTCTTCTTAGAGTATTCCTTATTAGCAGAATAGTGAGTTACTTTCTTCTTAGAGTATTCCTTATTAGCAGAATAGTGAGTTACTTTCTTCTTAGAGTATTCCTTATTAGCAGAATAGTGAGTTACTTTCTTCTTAGAGTATTCCTTATTAGCAGAATAGTGAGTTACTTTCTTCTTAGAGTATTCCTTATTAGCAGAATAGTGAGTTACTTTCTTCTTAGAGTATTCCTT